CCAGACCACCCCCAAGGGCAGGGTGGAACAAGGCAGGCTCAGAGAACGCCAGGCCATCATGGTTGGGCGGCAGAGTGAACAAGAAACAGAGGGAGGACTGGCTGTGTACACAGATGTGTTGTTTTTAAGCACAAGCAAGGTCACCTGATGGGCAGAGGAACAGCAGCCCCTCTTCCCTAGCAGGTGATGGGGACAGAGGCAGAAAGCATACACAACTCTTCAGAGCAGTCTCTTTGAGGGAAAAGAAATACGCTGGTGGCCAAGGGGAAAACGAAAAATTAAAGCGGCTCTGTAAAAGCATGTTTAAAGGCCAAAGGAGGCCATTTGCTGTTTACAAAAAGGAAACCAAGGCTTCCCTGGCACCTGAGGGCCTAGAACCTGGGGGCCACTGGTCTGTCCCCCCAGCAGCCTTGCAGTCACCATGACGGTGCTGTGATATCCATCGAGAACTGACCCGGTGCATGTTTGCCTGGGATGTTGACTTTGGCAGAGCAATGACCATTCATTATTCCACTTTTATGTATGCTTGACATTTTCCACAGTAAAAAGATGAAAGAAAAAAAAAAGAGGCCAAAAGAAGGACCTCGTCGAGCGGCTTCATTCAGGGAAGGGGAGCGTGAGCTTCCTGAGGTGGTGGCGGAGGGAGGGCTCACTTTTCTACTGCAACGAGAACGGAGTGAACGCACAGAGGCAGCATCATGCCGGTGGCATTTTTGTAAGCACTCCAAAATCTAGTGAGGGGTTACGTTTGAGAAAGTGAGAAATTTTAAGTAGCCATTTAGGAGAGGTGGGGATGGAATAACCAAAAAACACTCTATTTCATAATCTCCCCACTCCCCCCGTTCCTGAAAACTGGAACACAACTGAGAACTGACAACCCTCTGCAATTGCAATGGGCAATAGCTGTCCTTGGTGGCACAGCATCTGAGTGATGAGGACACACACACAGGCCAGCTGTTGGGTCCTCTTCCACATGCTTACTTGGGTACTAAACCACCCACTTACACAGAGCAACGTGAAAATCCTGGACAGATCAGCCAGCCTGTCTGCCCAAAGCCCATGTCCTTCCCCAGCGCCCAGTTATCACTCTGGGCTCTCGCAGAGCACTGGGTAGTGTCCGGATCACACCCTCAGTAATTGTCCCCTTGCCTGGGGCCCTGCACTGGCATTTTTCATCAGCAGCCAGGAGCTAGGGAGCCCACCCAAACCTCCATATGCTGAAAACTTTTGTTTCAGAGGAATTTGGAAAGGGGAGGGGCAAGACTCGAGATGAGGTCATGATGGTACTTTTCTTTGCTTTATAAAATTATTGCAACATAAGAATCTGATGAGACTGGAGACAAAATAACACTTATCATAGAGAATGGGCATATGCTACCACAACCTTCTCTACCAATGGCATGTTCATTATAGTCCACGGCATTGACGTGAATGTTTCAGATATGAAGGTTTCAGACAGCATTTATACTTTGATTCCTCTTTGAAAAACTGTAAGTGTAAAATTGTCAGTGATGTCATTTCTAAAAATCCAAGAATTTGGAAAATTCTATCAAAATCTAAATAACGCACAGACCATTCCTAGGAGTTAATCATGTAGCTACACATTCACACAGTTGCAGTTGTACACACTAGGATATTCAGCAGAGCGTTTTTGCAAGAGCAATAGCCCCTGCCCGATACCTATTAGGGAGAGAACAAAATAAACAGAGATCCAATCAACAGAGTATTTATGTAGCTGTCAAAACAATGGGTCAATCTACACCTGCTTATGTGGAAAGATCTATGTTAAAAACAAGAACACAACACAGTATGTATGCCCTACTGTTGAATTGTACACTTGAAACATTGGATTTCATTAACCGATGTCACAATAAAAATAAATTTAAAAAAAAATGAGTGAAAATTAAACAATGAAAAGAAGGCAATCCTAGCAAAAGGTTATAAAAATTGTTATTTCTAAAATTTTCAAGTTGTTTTTCATATGTAGGTCTTTAATATACCCGGAATTTTTGTTTTTGATGTAGTATAGAGATTATTCTTCCCGCCTAGATTTTTTTTTTTTAAAAGGCAAGTTTGAGAAGTGTAATCTCATTTGTGGGGCAATCACACATGAACCCCACATACTTGCATTTGCCCAGAACAAAGAATACGTAAAGCATGTCACATTGCTTTTGTGGGAGGAGAGGGTCTTGGGAAGGAGATACCTACTTTTTACTTTATATCCTTATGTAGCTTGTATTTTCTCTGAGAAAGTATTTTATAATTAAAGACTAACAAGAAAAATGTAAATGCCCAGACTTCTCCCTATAATTCAAGTTAGAAGTGTCTAATGTACCAAACATTCTATTCACAATGCAATTCCAATTCGACACGTGGCTTTTTTGAATACCTACTTGTTTAAGCCTGAAATAATGGAAAGCCACTCAAGGTAACAGCTGCATTTGGGTTCTTGATGGCCTGGCGCCCTGTGCAAGTCACTCCACCGAGAGGCTGTGGGCCCAGCCAGGTGCATGGACACACTGGGCAGAGGCTACTTCATCCTGTCCTCAGGGATCCCCTTCCAGAGACACCCCATCCCGATGTCCGGTGTGGACACCCAGGCTTCCAGCTTCACACTCCCTTGTTCTAGTCAGCACCCTAGACTGGAATGCGCCAGCGTCCACAGCTGCAGGGGTGGCCTCGGTATCTGCCCTTAACACCTTGGGGGCCTGCCTTCTGGAGTTAAGGTTAAGAGGGAATATTAGAGGACTGTGAAAAATGTGAACCACCACACGAATGAAACTTATACTGACATCGAGATAGACTGTTTTTTTCTGCAAGATGTATATACCATCATCTGTCTCCCTAAAAGACGACAATAGTGGTTACTAAGCTTAACAGAACCATAGTGACGAAGACGACTGTGCTATCAACTCAGTTCCTTAGGTTTAACGGTAGATATTCTGAGAGGGAAGAAGACACGCCAAGGTAACTTTCTACAGGCTCCCGGCTTGGCAGTTTAACGTGTGCCTTTTCTTCCCCGACTACGGTTTTCTACCCCTCTTAACTGGATGGCAGGGCCCCGCCCTGAGGGAGTCTAAAGGAAGGGCAGGCTCCTACAGACCAGCACCTTTCTGTTACCATAATGTTCCTGTTAGGATCTCCTCCCTGCCCCAGAAATCTTGAGAAATGCTTTCACTTATTCGACCCCACGACATGGTTTACCAAGCATTTTCCAGGATGAAAGTCTTTATTCCACAATGGCATTCGAAGTGGAAGCCGTGCCTAACGGTGTCAGCTTTTCTTTTGGTTTCCTTCCCCCAAATTTTCCGTTTTCTCTTCTTCAAATATTCCCAAACCCTAGATTTTAAAGATAAGTGTGCTATTTTCCAGTGTCAAGAATTCAACCTAGACTTAAAATAAAAGTCAAAATTAAGTGTAACGGTAACACATGAAAAAAAGACATCATGGAAGAATGACATATTTGTAGCATAAGAAAAATAATCAGTTTAATAATTACAACAACGTAGCATGAGTAGTCAGTGCCAGGACAGTTTGTGGCATTTATGTCAAGTGTCCCCAACTGCTATAAATGAGGACTGTGTGTGTCCTGGAGAAATGAAGAAGTGAGAGGCATCAGGAAGTCCAGACAAAGCCAGGCAGTTTCCAACGTCCTGGGTGGCCTGGCGCACGGAGTCAGGTACACGCCACAAAGCACAATGGACAGAGCTGCCGATGCCACATCCCAACATTGTGTGGAACTGAAAGTGCTTCACATCTCAGGATAGGAATGGCTTCGTCTCCTCGTCCATGAAAGGTGAGAGCAGAGAAGTAACCCTTAGGGTAAACAGTGTCCCTTTCTACTGTTCCCATCAATTCCAATCCCTCAGAAGGTCACATGGATAAATGTATGCAGTATATTTACAAAACAGGTCAGGTTTGTAGAAAAATTGCTCTCAGATACATTTTCTCTGCTCCTTAAAAAGCTTATTAGTAAAATATTGGATCCACAGGAAGAAAAGGTAATGCATTACACAAGCATCTCGACCGTCACACCATCAGGGGAAGGGATGTAAAAACACAAGTGTTCTCACTTGATGCTTCAATCAACAGTTAAGGCAGGTTCTGTAAGAGATCCCCCCCAGGATGCTGACGGCAACATCACCCGCCACGAAGTGGTAGGGAGATCAGGTGATAAATGTTGTACCTGAGTTAAAATTTGCTTAAGATAGCAAACTTCAGTACACTCAAATTTAACTGTTTTTCACTGCAATGTCTTATGCATCACCAAAATAAACACCACAACCAAACTTTAAGGTTTTTATTTAGCTCCTGGACTCTTACAAAAAAAAAAATATATATATATATTTACTAGTCATAGCACTACTGAACAAAATGCTAAATACAGGAAGTTGGCAATTCTAGTTGAAAGGTCAAGTGCAAGTCAATGCTGGGCCCCAGACACATCTGTTGAGCTTGCAAGTGAGGGGGACACTCAAGTGACCACACTGCAGGGGTAGATGAATGGGCACAGGGACTGATTAGCAAGAACATGGAACAAGAACCATGGACAACCAGAAAACCTACTAGTTCCAGAGCTGCTCAGTTCATAGGCATCAGAAGATTCTGATGCAGTTAACGGGCCACTTGCCCAATAAATAAATGAATGGCAAATCACAAATCACAAGAAGTCACATGTGATGCCAAATGGGTATTTCTGAGAAGTGTCTAATGCACAGTGTTATTTTGGTTTTTAAAGATGCAACCCTTATTCTATGAAGAAGTCATCTCCCAAACTGATCTTTTAGAAGAGGGGCAAAAAAAAGCACAGTTCCTTTAACACCGTGATCCTATCTCTGAGGCAGAAGGACAAGTTGGGTGGGGTCCAAGGCTGAGCTGCCTAGATCCCAGGTCCAGAGAGGTCAACAGAGCTGGGGTTAGAACCAGCTTCCTCTTCTGCCTGCTCTGCCATTTGGACACAGGGAGGGAATGAACCCACATTTAAATTTCCAATGCTTAGGTGGAATTTAAAATGTATATTGCTTTATTCTTATTGAAAGAGGGGAACACTTCTTTTCCCCATGAGCACTGAAGTAATGCTTGCTGCACCCTGATGGTAAAACAGAATTCAGGGCTAAAATGGCCTGACAAATCCTACCCACTGAAGACAGCTCACAGCATCACCTTGATTCGTCTTCACCAGCTGCAGTGATATGTAATAAATAATACATTTTATTTACAGGTTTTAGTGAAACTTTGTTTTGGGGGGAGGACAAAACAGTGCACTTTGTCATGTTATGAAACTAGCCTATGTGTAAGTCTGTGTGATCTTTCCAAGTGCAGTGAATACACTGATGATCGCAATATTCACACGAAGCAGCTAGAACATACACCTGTGCCTGGACAAGGTGGCATGTGTGCTTCCTTGGCTTCAAGGCTGAGGCTCAGACTCTCCCTCATTCAGCCAGAGCACTGCACTTGGAACCACTGTATGTCAGTGACTGCAATACTGCTTTAACAGAAGACTTTAAAATGGCATTAAAGTATCTTTGAAGGTATAAATAAGGTTAAATTCATTAGGTATACTGAGGTGGCCAGTATTTTTAGAGCACTGTGGAGACTACAGTGGTGGAGAACAGTCAGGCATCTACCAAAAGCCAGCGGGGTGCCCTGCACAGCTCTGCCTTCCAGGCATACATGAACATGACTTCTAGTTAACGGGACCGGAAAGGTTAGTGGAAAGGAAATTCTAGCATGGGTATCAACCCAGAAATAACAATCGTGGATATGCATTCAAAATGGAGTATTTACAAGAAACATGTATATATACTATTTACACATATTCAATAAAAGCCTGAAAGACCAGGATTTGTAGTCACTCGCTGCACTTATTGCAAAATGAGGTAATTGAGATGTTACCAGAGTGAGATTAACGCGGTCCCGCCCTCGGTGTCTGCACCTCACGCTTGGATTCTTTAGGAGCAGTGTGACCGTTTCTATTCTCAAGATAATCTCCAGCTTTTCTATGCACAGAAAGCAAGATGCCTTTCATCCTGCCCTGCCCTGTGATCCCGCATGTCACACCAGCCTGGATTGCGGGGCTCCAGGCTTGGTCTTGTAACTGGTCTTCAGAAGGAACCAAGGCCATTCCTCAGAGGTTGGTCTCGTCCCAAGCGGGGTCATTCATGTTCTTCAGAACTCTCCTCACCAGCTTCTCCAGGTCTTTGCGCGCTCTCTGTTCTTCCTCCAGAGACTTCTTCATCTTTTTGTTATCCTGCAAAGGAAGCAGACCACAGGACAGTCACTGTCTTTGGCACTGCAGAGGACTTTCTTTTCCCCAAGAGACGGGAATGCCTCAGTGAATGGAGTTCTGGGCTGGAGCCTGCCGCGCACTGCAGCCGCAGGTACGTTCTACAGGACCGCCTCGATGTCTAAATAGACAGCTGGGGCTCCTGACTGCACAGCTGCGCCGGGAAAACAGTCCTAACGTTTCTTACAATTTACAGTTCTAACTATCGAACAAGAGAAGCCCTGTTTTTATAATATATAAGAAAATGGCTGAAAATAACAAAAGGAACAACTTGCATCCCACCTACTCTTTTCACATTTGTAGTGATCTTATAGTTACATAAGAATGGAAGTAACAGCAGCTGAATGAATACATGAGTGAATGAACAAACACCTGCTTCTGTACAGCTTGCACCCAATCATTCCTCTGCATGGGGAAGACGCACACACAAAGATGTATCCCATTGCCAAGGATGAAGCACGAACCCGGAAGACCCTCAGAGGAGAAAGAAGTACCTGGAAGCTGCCTTGGACAATGCTGGGGATGGCTGAGAAGAGCAGCTCTGGGCATGTATCCAACCCCAGATCACACTGTGCTCCCGTTTCTCCTCAGCCTCCCCTTCTAACCTCCCACCTTGTGGGACAGCACTTACCCCCTCTTCAGAGACCAAAGCCATTTGTACAAATAATATACAAATACACAAAATACACTTCGTTTAACTGACTTGATTTGGCTTCTCAAAAACAAGGATCATGTGGTACACCAGAAAGTGGCAGAGAATAGTTGCGGTAGGTATTTAATAAAATTGTTAAGTGGATGAAACTTTAGATGTTTCAAATGATTATTCTAACAGAATTTGAGATATTTTCTGATATCAAAAACATTACAATAAAAAGAGATTAACAGATCTCTTTAAAGATTCATGTCCTGGTCTATCGCATTGACAGAAGACCTATTGTTTGATCTGCTGGAATTCTCAAAGACAGATTATCTCCTTTCTGTATTATTTTGTTTATGGACAACCGGCTTCATTTTTAACACAGTGTGTTCTTTTCCATTAAAAACAAAAACAAAACAAAAAAACAAGAAGAACTGGTATGACTCACCTGCCTTAATTCTTGTACTTCATCCTTCAATGCATAGACAGTATCAACGAGACTCCTGAAACAGAAATGGAATGAACATCTGAACAAAGACATGGAAGGAAGTGGACATAGAGAAGCACTTTACTAGGAGACAACAACTCCTGATGAAATACACAGTGCTGCTCTGCCCTGCTCACTGAACACCTAAATTCATACGCTTTAGAATAAGCAACTTCTGTGTATGGGAAGTCAGAGCCCAGTCAAGGTTAATTCTAATCAATGAGTTTACTCATAGTAGTAGTTTCTGAAGCCATACCCCAGCCCTCCTGGAATTTTTCTGACTCCAGTGCTCCACCCCGCCCCTCACATAAAAGTACCCTTCCCTTCTCCTCCCCTCCATATGCCCACATGCCTGCTTTAAAATATTTGAATGCATCTTACTTTTCTTCTATCACTGTCTGACCATTACTTTTAGTTTCTTCCACTATAATTTTTTCTTCTTCTGGAAGCAACACTTGTGGAGCAGATTCTTTGCGTGAACCTATCATTATGAAAAAAAAAAAACAAAACAAACAAACCAAAAAACAAAAATCCACAGGTGAATACCATGACAGAACTAAAAGAACTACATTATACAACACTACTTAAATATCAATATTAAATCCCAGGAACTGTGCATTTAAAAAAAATTACTTTCTAGATAAAATAGAGAAGAACAATTATTACTTTTCTCTATCTCCATCTATGTAAAGCATTACAGAAGGAAACATTAGCCTTTTTCTAATTTATTAAGCTTCAGTTTCTAAACTCAGAGGACTGATCTTTTAAAGCCTGAATTTTTCCACACATGGTTAAGTTAAAGGTTATGACCATAGTACCCTTGGTATTTTGGAATATCCACTTTTTAAAAAAAAATAAATAGCTGAATTAACCAAACTTTGAGACATTATTTCAGGAATCTTAGAATGATGTGTCAGACTATGTGGTACATATATGCTGAGTGTTTATAAATTTTTAAAACTGGCAAAATATTTAACTCTATAGTGAGTTAAAAAAAAAAAAGATGGCTCATGGTTTAGAAAAAATGGAATTTATTACTTGGTTCTTTTATGAAAATTTTATTCTACATTCCCTGGAATATAAATATTTTTCCAAATAAAAGTAAACTGTGCACAAGGTCAGAGAGAAGTTTATGCCATTTAACTGACTCCCAGCACAACAGCTTGCCTAAGATAGTGTCTCAATAAATATATGCCACAAAATAGGTACTCCAGAAATTAACTGAGAAACCCACATATTTATTTTAAAAGGTGAGAAAGAAGAATCAAATCTTATTAAAGGATATAAAATTATCTTTTCTTAAAGAAAATACTTTCCTACAGGTTATACAGCACTAAGATACATTTTTGAAAAATTACGTCAGATGCAAATCTGAGGAAGGATAGTCTACCACAGAACACAAACACTTGCTAGTGGTAGTGTGATAAACATTTCTCCATTGAAATAAAAACACACTTGATGTGTGGCATATTTTAATTGCAGAGATGGTGGCTCAACTTGCTTGATCTTTTTTCTGGTTTATCTTTAATTTGCCTTCCTTAAAGTTCATCAAATTGTAAGATGGCACTTGCACATCCTCGTTTCAGGGGTATATTCAGAATAATACAAATGTTTTAATGGTTTGATTTTAAAGAATAGTTTCATGAGCATATTACTGTAAACTTTTACTCCTCTGAATGGAACAAGACTAACAAGTACTATCAAAGTTTGATGAGAAGAGGGCTCATAAAACGTTACTGACATTCACAGAGTATCTCTATGACTTCCATGGCAGCACGCTACAGGGATAAAGACAGGAGTTAACTGGCCACGGGGCCCTGGCCAAGTCTCTCCCTGCTGCCGTTTGGACATCTGCAAATCCTGCTCTGTCCTAGTCTCACAGAATGGGAAGGGTATCAAATGCAAGCACACTGTGAAACCATAACATTCGAGACTGAACAAAATGAATATGCTGACTTCTTCCTTTGTTATCTCAGGTAGATGATTAAGCTCTGGGTAAATAATACAATTCTATGTTACACAGCACAAGCTTTATATACATATATATGTGTGTGTGTATATATAGATATATACACAAATGTATATGTGTATATATATATACATATATATATATTTTTTTATGCCTACGGCACCTGGTCTTCCTAGGTGGTCTCCCATTCAAGTACTAACCAGGCCCAACCCTGCTTAGCTTCCGAGATCAGACGGGATGGGGCTTGTTCAGGGTAGCATGGCCGTAGACTATATACTCACATTTTTATGCTAATAAAGGGGACTTTATGTGTACTGAGAATAATGAGTATTATAAAAATTCGAATTTAGTCATAAGCCATAATGAGCTGGTGTATAGAAGCGTATCTGCACATAGAGTTATCAATCTAATGTTTTTGTATTCACACCATGCTGCAAACCCTGAACTAGCAGATCTTGTCTCTGTCAGGCAGAGGAAGGCATTGCTTCGCTCATACCCCTCGCTGAGGCCACACTGCACCCTTTCACACAGTGACCTACTAAGCCAAGGAATTACTTTTCAGACAGAGAGTAGTGTCCTTCAAGACATGGTCCCAGAAAGAGGATATCTTTAAAGACATCACTGTGCTGACAACAATCCGCCTCCCCGGAGTACTGCCTGCTCCAGGTGCCACGGTGCCATGAGGGGCTGAGGGCACATCTTCTTCTAGATCTTTCTGAATTAATGGGGAATGCTGCTGGGACATCTGGGCTACGTGGGAATATACTGCCTAAGAAGGAAACTGGTATGTGGAACAATGACTGAGAGAGCACAGGGATACTAGCCAGGTTAAAAGTTCTGAAGGCTGAGGAAAATCTTGTACTTCTAATACAAATGCAAATGTCATCCACATTTTTATAAGGAAGTTAATTCATGAGCTATTTTCCTAGAAAAAAAAGAATTCATAAAGATTCAGATATGTATACCACACGTATAGAAAACAAATGGCTTTACTTAATTTGTGCTGTGAAGAGAAGCAAACTGATGACATCAGACAATTTAGTCAGCTTATTAGTTTTCCCATCGTTATCTGCTTTGAGCCCAAACAGTTGCTGACTGTGCTATAGTCAAATCAAAAAAGTTACCAGCTGTGAATCTGTCACATTCAGTTTGTAATACATTTCTTCAAATGGGTTAATGAAACAGGTTGAAATTTTTTTATGTAACAGCACTTGAGGGAATATTAAATTCTATGTATTTTAATTATTTTTGCATCTTCTAGCTTCCTAGGCAACCTAATTACATGTTTCCAGCATTAAAATGTTCAAATGACATAAAACAGAATCACAAGGGATGTCTACTTTGTGAAAAAATGGGTCACATAGCAGTCAGCTGTCCTGCAGAGGTGCTGGGACTAATGAACTCACACCCCATCTGTGGGAGTCTTCAATAAACTCAGGCCCGTCACTTAACCACTGAGCCATTACTCGTAAAATAGAACAAAACTAAGTTCATTATTAGTAAAATAGAATGATAAAACTACCTCTGCAGAGCTGTCTATTAATTTAAAAATTACACTAAATTCATAAAAATAAAAGCATTAAATTCTATTATGTAATGTAACTAAATCACAGAAACTGAAACCTGCAAGAACTGATACAACCATTACACATGCATGAAGTGATTCTCATTTTTGCAAATATACTTAAAGCACACAAGAATTTAACGTCATAAAAATGTTAAGAATATTATAGATGGAATGTACTAACTCCTTGATTCTTGAAACATGCCAACGTTAAAAATGCCATTTATGGGTTCAGTGGGTGCCAGGACGCTTGTAAATGAAGATTACTTACTTCCTGCATAGAAATCCATGGGGTGCTAATAACCTCCCTAGTTTCAATGCATCATTTCTAAAATGACTGAAAAACTGTTAGTCTTTCAACAAAACGATAAAGGAGTATTCTCCAGCCGGGTTTATAAATAAGTTGACTATTTCTATAAGAACAAAGTTTTAGAAAGTTAACAGATTTAACAAGTTATCTTAAAGACTACTAAAGTATTTTTAGAGGTATCACAGCATGTTTTCCCTGAACTACTTAGGTTGGAAAAACAATTTAACAGAACTACCAAAAATGTTCTATTGATTTAAAATCCTCTAAAAGTGGCTGAGACATGATAAACAGTTTCATGATGGTTCCACTACACTCAAGATCTGTGTTTCCCAAACTTTGTGTAAAACAAGTTTCTGTTTCCAGAGATAAAAAGGGATTCTGCGACATAATTCTGGAAAATGCGGAATGCTGTGGGGAGAGTCACAGTGCACATGTAGCATTTTTAAGGTTTTCAGAAGGCTGCGGTAAAAATACCCGTTGAACTTTAATTCGGCATTTCCTAAATTTGTCTGAGTGCTGAACTTTTTTCCCCCCACATCAATATTAACATTTTGCAGTTTTCTAGACAACAGTTTGAAGAGTGCTAGACTAGCCTAAAATTCTGTCTATAAATACATCCACACAAATGCTGGTTGGTTTTGTTGTTCTTGTTCAGTATGGGGGTGAATATAATGAAACAATAATTTATACCTAGCACCAATCCAGCATTTATCAAACTCGAGGACTCCAAGAACATGTCTGCAGATAACTGGGACCCAGCCGCCAATGACCGCTGACAGACAACAGCAGTTCCACACTGGCACCAGCAGGGGTTGCTCTGTACTGAGCAGCTGGAGAGACAGCAGGCACTGGCGCCCCTGCCGTGAACTCAGAAGTGCGATCCAGAAGCTGAAGACACGCTTAGAACCCTGCTCCCTAAAACATTCACAGATCCCCAGAGAACTGTGGCCCTTAGTTTGAGAAACACAGATTGATCACACATTTCCATTTTATAGACAGATGACTTGCCCAAGCAGCAACACAGTAGGGCTCAGGCCCCAGGGCGCCGTCGTCTCGGTTGTTAGAACACCATTTTGGTGCCTGATCTGACAACAGATGACTGTCAAATCCAGGGCAAGCGCATGGTGTATGTATACAGATGAGTGAGTTGGCCTCCACCAAAAGCCTAGAAACAGTTCGAGTTTGTCAGAACCGGCCAGAACTATCTGCCTAGTACATTTGTAGCAAAACTCACTTCTTAAATTAATAATCTTTCGAAAATCTGCATCTAATTATACTCAATTGAAATTGAAATAACATTTAGAATGAAGCAAAATATTACACTTTAAAAAAATCCACTTAATAAAAGCTCTTCAAAAGGCCATTTTGTTATTTACGGCTATGATAAGATTCTAATTTATTTCTCTTAGGAAAAGAAAACGTGAAGATTCTCTTTAGAGGACGATTTGCTTTTATTTATCGTTTGCACTTTGTCCTGGCCCCGCACTGGCACAGGTATTTCTTTTGCTTTTCCTAGTCAACTTGGCATGCACTTTATAAAACAAAAATAAAAACTGACCTTAGTCTAAATAAACTATTAAAGTTGGGCTTTTTTCCCATTTATGCACACCCACACCCACCTCCCCCAAAAAAACCCAC